CTGTCTAATTTGACAGCCTGTGTAACACAACATATTTGACATATTAACCTGTATAATCTGACACTATGGGACATAATATATGGGTCATATTAACCTGTCTAATCTGACAGCCTGTGGAGCACAACATATTGGACATATCAACCTGTCTAGTCTGACAACTTGGACACAATATATGGGTCAAATGTACCTGTCTAATCTGACACTCTGAGACAACATATCATCAGATTAACCTGCCTTATCTGACACCCTTAGGGGCACAAAATATTGGTAAGATTTATCTGTCTTATCCGACAGACTATTGAACACAACATATTGGTCAGATTAACCTGTCTTATCCGCCAGACTGGAACACAACATATTTTTCAGATAAACTGCCTAATCTGACACCCTGTGGGACACAACATGTTGGTCAGATTAAATTGTCTTATCCGACAGACTGTGGAACATAACATATATCTGTTGGATGAACCTGTCTAATCTGACACCCTGTGGTGATGACTTCAGAACAAAGTATAGGGACATCAACATTTGAGCTCCAGTTTGGATGCCAAAAAGTGGTAATCAATGAAATGATCGATTACCAAAATGTGTGTTATGAGGCAAAACTGAATAGACAGTAGCTAGCTTAATAAACAATGTATAAAGTAGGAGTACCCGTATCTGTCTGATCAATGTGTATTAGCCAGGTTATAAATATAGCACTGTAATAAAGGAATTTCTTACCTTTCCCCGTCTTTATGTTTGATCAAAGCTGCAACACATACAATAATAAAATGGTAGTTAAAATTCTATCGTTAAGAAAACTTTGAATTATTTAAAAACCAATAAAAATAAGCCAATGGTAGTACAGTACATTCCACCTAATATCACGTCACTTAATGTCACTTTTCGGTTATTATCATGTTTTCTTGATGCATTGTTTTTCCTGCTATATAATCTATGTAATTCAACTCTTTTATTATCACTTGTTTTGATATATTTTCGCTATGTATCACTTTATTTTGGCCACTGTCACAAAAATATAATTGGTAAATTAATCACTGTGTAGGACTGACATCAGATATAGCTAGTACCGAAGCGGGCATGGAAGCTTGGCGTAGTCGAATCGCGTTAAGTTTTCCGATATTTCTTGTATTTTTCTGGTAGTGTAGAGACAAATAAAGAAGCACGACAGTAAAGCATAGACGTAATTCATATCTGAAACAGGAGGCATGTTATTGTTTTGATGTAGTTGCAAATTATTTACAAAACAGTCTGCCTAGTTACTTAATCTTCATTCGCAACAGCAAGTATTGTCTTGACTTGACATTTGCCAGTAGATTATATACATTTATATGCTAAGATGATTTCTTATAGTTATATAGTCATGATAATACATGGAGTCACTCTATATTATGCTTCTTTCTTTAGATATTGGTATAACTAATTTTGTTGAGGTGTACGGCGAATAGCAATAAACTGTACGGCGAATAGGAATGTTTAAAATAACTGGTGTACAGCGAATAGTTCATATGGTATACAGTATTTAAGTGAGCACCTTGCCTAATTGTGACATATTTTGTTAAAGCTTAACTTAAACTAACGTTCCCCGATTACCGTAAATCTCCTACAGTGTAAAATGCATCCACGTTATCGTACGTAAGTTGTAGAACACCAAAGATTACAAGAAACAACAATGTACTCAATACAAGTGTACAGATAAGTCAGATAACCACTAGTCTACCTGTGCTGTAGATTAAAAGGATAGGCCAAAATAATAGTTGTGTGTCTGTTTTTCAACCCTCAAAATATTAGGGTTGCAAAATATTTTTTGAAGTAGTAATAAAAAACAAAGTTTCAGACCTTATTTTAAAAGTGCCTATTAAAAGTTTATGAAAATAAAGTTAGAATAGACTTTGAAATCTTGAGCAGGAATGAAACAGACTTTTCCCATTGTGAATAAATTGAGGATATATCAACTTAACTATCATGTATTTCTTTGCAAGTCTATGTATTAGTGCAGATTTTCTCTACATCACCCTTAAAATTCTTGTGTAATCCCTTCCATCTTGTTAGCTCACCTGGTCCTGGCTTTATTGCTTCAAGAGACTTCTTCTCTGGAACTAAGAGATGGATATCAACCATATTTGACTTGAAGCATCGCTAGGTGGTGGAGATTCAAAATTGTACAAATGCTGGGGCTGACCCTCCAGGGGGCTGATGGCGGGCCCAAAACGGGGCAATTTGGCTATATTGCTATAAACGACTTCTTCTGTAGAACTACGCGCTGGATATCAATCATATTTAATCAAAAGCATTAATGGGAGGCAGGGATTCAAAATTGTACAAATGGTGGGGCTGACCCCCCAGGGGGCTGAGGGACTTGAAGCATCAAGGGTTATTTGGCTATATTGCTTAAACGACATCTTCTCTGGAACTAAGAGATGGATATCAACCATATTTGACTTGAAGCATCCCTAGGTGGTGGAGATTCAAAATTGTACAAACAGTGGGGCTGACCCCCCAGGCTAAGGGGTGGGGCCAAAACAGTTTATTACTTGGAAATGGTTGAGATCCCCACCATATAACCATATATACAATTGCTGAGTATAAAGAGAAGAATGCACATTTGCTTCCAGGATGGCCCTAGGGTCTGGCCTCACCCTTGGAGACATAGTCCCTAGGCCATAACTTTGAAAAGGTTGAGATCCCCACCCCAAAACTATATATACAAATGCTGGGCAAAAAGAGACAAATGCAGTCATGATATTAGAATATACCCTGGGGTCTGACCGAACCCCTAGGGACCTAGTTTCTTAGTCACAGCTTGTAAACAGTTGAGATCCCCACCCTATAACCATATATACAATTGCTGAGTATTTTAGAGATGAATGCACATATGCTTCCAGGATGGCCTTGGGGACTACCCCACCCTTGGATACTTAACCCCTGGGTCGTAACTTCGAAATGGTTAAGATCCCCACCCCAAAACTATATATACAATTGTTGCATGGCATAAAGAGACGAATGTAGTCATGATATTAGAATTGACCCCAGGGTCTGCCCCACCCTTGCAGACTTAACCCCTGGGTCATAACTTTGGAAGGGTTGAGATCCCCACCCCAAAACTATATATACAAATGCTGGGCAAAAAGAGACAAATGCAGTCATGATATTAGAATTGATCCTGGGGTCTGGCCAAAACCCTAGGGACCTAGTTTCTGAGTCACAGCTTGGAAACAGTTGAGATCCCCACCCCATAACCATACGTGAAATTGCTTGGCATGAAAAATCTAATACAGATATGCTACAAGGATTGGCCTTGGGGTTTGGCATATTCCCTTGGATCTCATTTGGAGAATATTTTTACCATGATTGCTTAGATATCCAGGTGAGCGATACAGGCCCTCTGGGCCTCTTGTACATTAACGTTGTGACAGGGAAAGAGTATGTCACCTTCTGCCTGAGTTCCAACTCTCCACCGCTATTGCCAAGGTCACAGCTAAAGTTCTAACTCTCATCCCGCTATTGTCAAGGTCATAGCCTAAGTTTCAACTCTCCACCGCTATTGTCATGGTCACAGCTTAGGTTGTGTTATAGCATGTGAAAAATGGGTACTCCTTATCATTATTTAACTCCACATTCATTAGACTTTCGACATTCTTAACCCCTTCCCTTTACGATATCATTCAAAAGTGTTACAAAGCAACACCATTGGTATGTTACTCCAATGGTATAACAACATAAAAACGTAGCTCGCTCTAAACATGGTTATATTAGTTTAGCTTATGATTCTCCGTACTGTTAACATGCTAGTCGCTGTACACTTGAAAATGTATCAACAACTATTCGCCGTACACAGACGAAAAAACATTTTAAAAAATGTCAATTACATCGTAATGACTACATTTAGACATATGACCATTATATGTTTATCCTGGTCTCATCTACTTATGCAAGTAATGTCCGTTTCATCATCGTATATGTCATACTTTAATAGTTATCTCTTCTTCTTTCTTTGTACATGATTTGGTCAGAAAAACACGTTTTCTCTTTATGTCACGTTCCTGTTAATATCACATTTTCATTTGACAAATCAGAAGTGAAAATAAGCGAAATCTACTGTACAGGTAAAACACTTTAAGTTAAAAAACTTTCAAATAAATAAAAAACAATGAATTCTGTTTAATGATTTTTGTTAACATATTGTCACATGATGGTGATAAGTTACATTAAACCTGGCTCTGATAAACAAAACTTTGAAAAATTTGATGGTGACAAAGATTAAAAATAATTGAATATAACATGTTAGTTATGCTCATGTACAAATTAAGAGTCTTTTGAATAAAGCCAAAGGACGGGGTGTTAAGAATCATTTTCGGCCTCATTAGGGATTTATAGAAGTAGATTTTATATTCGTAATCTGCAATAAATAAAGTATGCAAATACGAAATTTTAAATTCATTCAACAACTGGATAGGAGATATGGCATTACAAAGAGAGACATAAACCTCGATTTTTCACAATAAAATGCGTGAATATCATCAATTGTGTGCTATTTGCATTGAAAATTGGATATTTGAAGCAAATTAACAAAACACTCTCAATATTTGAAAGTCTTGAGCATGCACCAACCACATAAATATTCGGCATGCTTAAACATTGTCATACCATGAGCATTAAGTTGTAGAAAGGAACTTTTGGTTGTCACATGCAAATGCTTTCATTTCTGCAAGCTAACTGTCCAAAAACACCATATTTTGGCTATTTCTGCATAGCAACACAATTTTTTTGCTATGGTTGGACATCTACACATGCACAATAAAAAAAATTGCACCCGTTGGGGCTAGAAAGATAACCCCATTTGACTAATATGATGTTTATAAAAGAAATTAGTAAATAAATTTAAGTTGAAATTTTTAGTTTTTATGATGCAGTAAATAACCCATAATGCCCCCAAGGCCTTTGGATTCAAGTAAAATGTTATACATTGACATTAAATCATTGTTTTCTTGTTACAGACCTTTACCAAATCACCATGGCCTATGCTTATTGGAAGAGTGGGAAGAAGGACGACAGGGCTGTCTTTGACCTTTACTTCCGTAAGAATCCGTTCAAAGGAGAGTTTACAGTGTTTGCTGGACTGGAGGAGTGTATCAAGTTTCTACTGAAGTTCTGCTTCACAGAGAGCGGTGAGTAGTTGTACATGTAAATTAATTTTTATACGCCCATCAAATTTGACGGGAGTATTATGGTATGGGTTTGTCCGTCCGCTGTCCGTCCGGCGTAAACTTTTGTTTGTCCGGCAATCTTCTCCTACATTTTTCAACGGATCTCTTTAAAACTTGGTATATATTATCATCATGATAGAAGTTGTGTCTCCCTTAAAAGAAATTTGAATCGACGATTTTTGCAAAAGTTATTGCCCTTTGTTCATTTCAGTATTTGATTTTTTGACCGGAGATTTTTTCCTACATTTTTTATAGCATGTCAGCTAACCACTCTTTGAATGATGCAGATCTTATTTCAATGTAAGAAGTATATAACACTATATGGCATTCGACGGGCGTATATTATACCACCCCGCGGTACTCTTGTTGTTTTGTGTTTTCGCTCCTCAAGATATAAAATGCAACTTCGAACACATTTAATTCTTTGAATGATTTGTAGACTTATTAGATCACAATTTTTATGATGTTCTTTTGATGATATATATTGTTATACTCCTCTCAGGGCACAGTCTAAGGTCAAGGTCATGGTTTGTAAATTGTAGAGATCTAAGGTTCATAACCCTAGGTCATGTTAAGTGGTCAAATATCAAGACATTAAATGTATTGCTTTCTGACCTTCAACTCTTACTTAGCTCCAGATTCCAAGATTGAATATCAATATTATCATACATGTACATATCCTGACTAGGAGCTTACAAATAGAATGGAGGTTTTAGGACGTTAAACTTTGTAAGCCTTCTGTTTGGATAAATTTATGCAATTTCAAAGTTAGAATGTCATTGATCTAAGCCATTTATATCAGGCAGAGGTGTTGATGCATACAGTGATACTAACTCATTCAACCCTGAAATTTCATAATAGACTATTCCAACCTTTGAATTAGAAGAGTTCAAATGTGTCTTCAGGGGTAAATGAGTTAACGTTTATAAAAAGTGAATGCTGCCTGTTGGTTTTAATGTGACTATAAAACCGTTTGTGCTGAGTATCGTGTAGTCACCAAAGAGTCCTCAGTGACTGTTCTCTGTCGTGGAGTTCTGCTAGCATTACATTCATATTGATTTTTTTTGCCACCAATTCTTTTGTAAGGATGAGTTCAATGGAAGGAGCTGCTGTAAAATTTTCCAATGTCATAATTATGAAATCCATTTAATTTCATTTAATGTTAAAAGTATCTGGAATATGGATGATTTTGCTTGTGTAGTGGTTTTTGAGTCACCAGGCATGAAGTGCCTGTGAGCTAATGCAATGGCGCTGTTCCATATATCAGGACTGTTAGAAAATCTATTGAAGTACCAGGATGTCAAGTGTGACATTTGGCCTATACATATGTAGTTTGTTGGCTTGCTGAGCTATCAATTCCATTCAAATTAATATCAGTAGTCGCAGCATATTTTTTGTGTCTGCAAAGGTAAATGTGTAAAACCTTCTAACCTTTTAGTAAGAACCATGATGACTTTAAGTGGTAAAATATATTACCTGCAAGTTGCTATATTGAAAATGAAATTATCTATAAACTTCATTCATTTTACAACAATTATGAAACTGAAAAGTATTTCACCGATATTAATCACTCTTGTTGGCCAGGGTGTAGGGGGTCTTAATGTGGGAGGAAACCAGAGTACCTGGGGAAAACATGTGGTCAGTCAACTTTTCATGTCTGATCAGGGAATGGAACCCAATGCAGCCTCCTTGGCAAGTGCGCATGCGTTATCGAACACTGCCCCACCTGACCAACCTATGATTACAATATAGTAATTATAATATAGCTATAGGTCTATCTTGAAATTCTGCAGTCATTTGTTCAGAGTGTTTTATAAGGCAGTTTGATAATAATAGTGATATGGAAAGATGTGTAGAAGAAGTGTTAAAAACAGAATAATAGCATGAAATCAAAATATGTTTGTGGTATACCTGGAGGCAAATGTGAATTTCATTATGATAAGGTTTTAATGTACTTTATTGTTATGTAATTATTTTCATGTATGCTTTAAGATATACTGGAATAGTACACTTGTGTGTAGGATTCTGTTAACATATCATTTCAATGGATTACTGTACAAAGGAAAATTTTCTTTGCAGTTTATTTTTCATCTTTTCAATCTCCATAATGAGCTTGGGTGAATTTATCTAAACAACGAATATAAGTAGACAGCATAATAAACATAGTAACTTGATGTTGAGGGCGAAATTAACACTTCGTGAAAATTGATTTCATGGGTGAAGGGCGAAAGTTTCACTGTGCAAAATTTTCCTGGTATACAGCAGCCTATTCCGTATTTGCGTATTGCAGAGTTATCTTCTCTTGTGAGCAGGTATTGATTGTTACGTTATTGGTTTGTGTGAGAAAATTATGTCATTTTCTCAAAAATTGATGACGTTACTCTCACGAAACAATGACCTAACAATCAATACCTGCTCACAAGAGCAGATAACTCTGCGATACGAAAAGAGGGAATGTATTATATAGTTGATGAATTTGTGCACCCACAAAATATGCAAAAGATTTGATTGTTGCAATTGTCATTTAGAACAGTATTTAAAGCACGAAAAGTGCTAAAATTAGCCTACCACTGATATATATACGTTTACAGTATACAGGTATAGTACACTACATTGTATAGTGATTGCCATGTTTACAGACATAAACTACCTGAGGAAAGTTCTGCCCAGTAACATAGAGTCAGAATTCTTCGACTACCTACAGCAGATATCTACAAACGATGTGAGACTGTACGCCATTGATGAAGGGACTGTGGTGTTCCCCAAGGTGCCCCTCCTAACTGTAGAGGGACCCCTGCCCATTGTCCAGTTGATGGAGACTCCTCTCCTTAATCTTGTCAACTATGCCAGTTTGGTGGCAACCAATGGCATGCGTTTCCGTCTGGCGGCTGGTCCTGAGAAGATTCTGTTGGAGTTCGGGTTGAGAAGGGCCCAGGGACCAGACGGAGCATTGTCAGCTTCACGCTACTGTTACCTGGGGGGTAAGGATGCACATACTACTATACTCCATGTTGTGTTTGGACAAATTCAGTCCCCACTTCTAGGGTTCTAGAAGTCAAATGTGTAAAACTATTTAAAAGACATCTGCTAAATAATTACTTAAGGAGGCTGAAGGTGAGGATATTTGGGCAGTAACATATTTGGATTAAGGGCTATTAACTTTGTTTAAATGAATGACATTAACCTACTTCCAAGATCACAGGGGTCATATGTGTTAAAATATTCAAAATAATTGTTCTGACAGACCAAAAGCATTAGGGTAAGTGGCATGCTGAGATAAAGGGCTAACAATTTGTTCAAATGAATGACCTTGACCAGTTTTCATGATCCCAGGGGACATGTTTGACAACACATCAAAATAAGTTCTTCTGAATATCCAACAGTCTTAAGGTATATGACCTGAATCAACCAACTTTGGAGATCAAATTAATAAGATGGCTTTAAATCATTCAGTGAATATCCATAAGGAGCTGATTTAAAAAAAGATAATGTGTAATGTGTTAATTTATGATATATCCTAGTGGACTTTGACAATCTATGGAGGTCACAGATGAGTAATGATGTTAAGGTGAACTATGCAGGCCTACCAGGCCTCTTGTTCTAAAGATTTGAAGGATATCCTGAATTTCCTGTTAGCCTCTTTTTGAAAGATATGATTATTTTCTGATTTGTTGCCTCTTTCTGAAGCATTTTAAGGATTTCATTAATTTTACATTAATATGTTTTTATAGGATTTGATGGCACAAGTAACGTCCTAGCTGGGAAGCTGTACGGAATACCTGTCAGAGGAACACATGCCCACGCCTTTGTGACGTCATACACAGATCTTCTGAACATCAGTGAGGAGGTCGGTTAAAACTAATGATCATTCCATACTAGTCAGTTAATAGCTGCTTTTGTTTACGGCGTTGCATGGTACAGTCATCAATAATGTCTCTTGAACTGAGAAATGCTTTTCTACTAATTTTGTGAAAGGGATCTTTTATTGAAATAATGAACACAATCTCGCCTGTATTCAAAGGCCACCTTGAGAAAGACCATACAGCTGTTAAGTGGTATCTTATTGCATGTGACCTCTAAATACAGGTTTAGTAACATGAAGACAGCTGCCATGTGGAGTTTTAAATGTGGTCTCCTAACACAGGTTCTGTCCTTATAGAAGTATTCTTTTAACCAATGGGGCCTCGTAATATTGTTGAGTTGGTCTTTTATCACAGGTCTTCTCTTAAGGATCCCTGTACCACTGCCAAAAACTGTCACTAAGTGTTGAAGACTATTTCTGGTGTGACTATATAGCTTTGATAAATCATTTCTAAAAAGAAAACCCATACCTTGCATGACTTTTATGACAAATAATAAACTTTAAGATGAAATAAATAAAATAAATAAAATGTAATCAACAACAATATTCTGAGTGGAAAAAATTCTGCGGTGCTAGACCGGGGTTTAAACAGTGTACTTCCGAATGTTATACAATCGCTCTAACCAATTGAGCTACCTGGTCAACGGAAGTGGCCTGGCCTGACAGTGCTACAGTTATATCCAAACAGAATTTAAATGGAGGTTTCTGGAAAAAACACAGTGCTGTGGGACAGGGATTCTTAACAAAGGTGTCTATTTACACTAGTAAGAATGAGAATAAAGGGATTATAGAATTGTGTACACCTGATACGAAACAATAAACTTACTGTATGTGAAGAATTTCAGATGATGACTACCACAATTGGATGTAAAATATTTTAGCTCAAGCTTGCAATTTCTTTTGTTACAGACTCTGATGAGGAAGGGAACCGAAGAACCAGTCAAATTTTTGCCAATTTGTAAAAAGTGGCAAAAACAACTTACAGGTATTCTAGGTAAGTCATACAGGTCTTCAGTTTCAATGATTAAGAATATTACCGGGGTTATACATTAATAAAACACCAGAAAACAAATATTAAAAAAAGTTGAAAAGTTTTTTTGATTTACTGTCATTGAGTAACAAACATACTCATTAACTACATCGAGAGTAAGAACAAAAAATCAGAGAGACAAAAATCCAGGCCCCACTTGTATAAAACATCTCAACTCTTGAGATTCCCTCAAGTCTAAGATCTCCCATAGACAATACATTGCTTGATATTTTCCTCAACTTTGAAATGTTTATAAAAGTGCTGATTGCCCAAACCTGAGGCTTGTTGAGGGATTTACATTCAAGAATAACAATAGAGTTGAACTAGATTTTCTATTTTCGTCATACCAAAATATGACTGGTGTGTCAGGGAGGTAGAATCATTCTTATGCTAGCTGCCCAAAATTAACATCATTCAATGTGTTTTTTCGTGGTGACAAAATTTTGTGTAACTTGTTGTACCTGATGGATTAAAAAATCACTCACAACTGAAATAGGAGACATATATAACAGTTGTCTGGGCATCTGTCCTTCATGTCCCATCCAGATTTATTATATTTCAGGTTTGAATGTCAAGGTAAAGGTCACCTACTTATTCCAGGGTCAAGGTCAAGGTCTCCATCACTGTTTGTAGGAAATTGTCAGGGAGTTCAGTATCATCACTCTTGTGACTTCAGTTTTCAGTTCAGACATAAACATTCACCAACAACTAGCTACTATACACGTTATCTGAGATTGTTGATTTTTCAGGTTTCCTTGACGACCAAGTGAGTAACGGAGAATTAGCCGCCTTCATATCATATGCCTCCGCCTTCCCGGACGGCTTCCTTGCTCTCATAGACACCTATGATGTCATCAAGTACGTCATACTTAGGAAATCAGTAATATCAGTTGAGCTGGGGCTTCTAGATCAAATTATTGTTTTGAAAGAAGTCCACTACATAGTTTTCCTGTATTTAACCACTGTTCCATGTTTAAGTTATTCATGTAAAATAACAACAAATCAGATATTGACATACAAAAGAATTTTTGTAAACAACTCTCTTTGGTTGTTTGTTTCTGGTACTCAAAATCACTGGGAAATCTTTGTGAGGTGTTACAAGACAGACTTACAGAAGTTGTGATTCAAGAAATTTTAACCCTGTGAAATTTAATAACTGGTATACAGTAGGTGAAAGTTCAGGTTTACTGTAGATAATTTTGTTGTTTTAGGTCTGGATTGCCAAACTTTTGTACGGTGGCCCTGGCGCTACACGAGTTGGGATACGAGCCCCGCGGCATAAGACTGGATAGTGGAGATCTGTCCTATCTGTCTAACCACGTCAGGTCACGGTTCAAAAAGGTCGCTGAGAGGTCAGTAAAAATCAGACAATTCTCGCTACAAAAAGGTTGGAATACAACTCTTTTTAGCTCACCTGGCCCAAAGGGCCAAGTGAGCTTATGCCATGGTTCGGCATCCGTCGTCCATGTGTCGGTAATATTTTACTTTAAACAACTTCTTCTCAATAACCAAAAGGACCAGGGTACTGATATAGGGCCTGTAGCATGCTGGGATGAAGGGCTACAAAGTTTGTTCAAATGAATTACCTTGACCCACTTTCAAGGTCACAGGGGTCAAATGTTTTAAAATCTTCAAACAACTTCTCAATAACCAAAGGGCCCAGGCTATGATATTGGGCCTGTAGCATGCTGGGATGAAGGCTGCCAAGTTTGTCCAAATGAATGACCTTGACCCACTTTCAAGGTCACAGGGGTCAAATGTCTTAAAATCTTAAATGACTTCTCAATAACCAAAAGGCCCAGGGCCTGTACTGATATTGGGCCTGTAGCATGCTAAGATGAAGGGCTACCAAGTTTGTTTCAATGAATGACCTTGGCCAACTTTCAAGGTCACAGGGGTCAAATGTCTTAAAATCTTCAAATGACTTCTCAATAACCAAAAGGCCCAGGGCCTGTCCTGATATTGGGCCTGTAGCATGCTAGGATGAAGGGCTACCAAGTTTGTTCAAACGAATGTCCTTGACCCACTTTCAAGGTCACAGGGGTCAAATGTCGTAAAATCTTCAAACCACTTCTTCTCAATAACCACAAGGTCTAGGGTATTGAAATTGGGCCTGTAGCATGCTGGGATGAAGGACTGCCAAGTTTGTTCAAATGAATGACCTTGACCCACTTTCAACCTAATGTCCTTGTTTGACATTCAAGGTCACAGGCGTCATGTTTAAATCTTTTAATTGGTTCTTATGAATCAAACACTGATATTCTGCCTGTATCTGTATTTTAGTCCACTTTTAAGATTACAAGTGTTAGATCAATATCAGGTGAGCGATGCAGGCCCATTGGGCCTCTTGTTTACAAATACATTGAGGAAAATGAAGCATAAAGCTTGTGTTAGTTCTAAAAATGTGCTAGCCAAGTGAGTTGTTTCTATTCACATCCCATTGATTATCTAGAAATCTCTTATAATTATTTAATTACTCTCTGGCCAGATTTTTCGGACACATATAAAAATATAGTTACCATGTCTTTCCCAGAAATACCCAACCATTTTTAGTTGGGAAGGAAGATAACTGAGTTTACCAGTCTGTTGTGTTAGTGCCTAAAGAACCTGATATAACTCTCTGCACACAACAGGTTAACATCACTTCATCTGGCAAATCTTGTTCTCCTTCAGTTTGAAGCTGCCCTGGTTTGGAAAGCTGACTATTGTAGCCAGTAACGACATCAATGAGGATACTATACACTCGCTAAACCAACAGGTATCGTAAACTCTCCGACATCGACAATTTCTGGGTTTGTCTTTTTATTGGTGTAAGGTAGTTCAATTTTCAAGCTTGGAGATGATGTAGTAATTGACAACCTTCACCACACTACATTGTATACCACAGCAGTAGAAATGCAGGTCCAAGGCAAGACTTTGTAACAGACATGTCTGTGAAGAGATTTAAATAATTTTACAATATATACCGTAGCCTTTTTTTCTTGGCTGATTTAAATTGGTCTTTTAAAACAAATATAAGAGATTGGTAAAATCCAAGGGAACATTCACTGACCATTTTTTTTAATAAAATGCAATTGAACAGGATAAGAAATACTTTTTGAATTCTCACTTTTTTTTAGCTCAATTTTAGTAATAAGTTTTCCCATTAACAAAGCATGGCTGTTGTTTTCCTACAAAGTTTCCCTTCATAGGTATAATAATCGATCATTCTAGTCAGAGTTCACATTATCAAGAAACTGTATTTTACTAATCAGACTTTTCGATACCAAAGCTCAGGTATAGTCTACTTACCAGATTTCCGTATACCTAACCTATGGTTTTGTTGTTGACAGGGACATGAGATTGACAGTTTCGGGATAGGAACTCACCTGGTCACGTGTCAGAAACAACCAGCACTCGGCGGTGTCTATAAGGTAATGGGTTATAAATATAAACTTCATTTATTTTATAACAATAACGAAACAAGTTATTTCAACTTATATTAATCACTCTTATTGGCTGGGATTTTAGCGCGCGGAGGGTCTTAATATGAGAGCAAACTGGAATAACTGGAGAAAACAAAAATGGTCGGGCAGGTGACCCCATACTGTTTCAAGTCCGATTAGTGAATCAAATCTTAGCCACATGGTGAAAGGGGAGTGCGCCCCCCGACCACCCGACCACCCGACCCCCGACCCCCGACCACCCGATCACCCGATCACCCGACCAACGACCAACGACCACCCGACCCCCGACCACCCAACCCCCCGACCCCTNAGCTGATGGCGATGCCCTTGTAGACCTTATGTTACAACCAGACGAGCAACCCCCTATTCTCAACACAAGGATACTCTGTCGACATCCATTTCAGGTTAGTGCTTAGTCGATACATAAAGTTATCTAACTCATTTTGTCTCCACCTATTCAAAGCTAAGTGAGGATGTTTTTAATCTTTGTGAAGGCAGGAAATGGTCATGAGAAAGTTATCAAAATTTAAAGAAGGATGGGGATTGCTCTCTCTCTCTCTCTCTCTCTCTCTCTCTCTCTTTCTCTCTCTCTCCAGTAGAGTAGAGTATCAAAGAACTGATAGTTTGACCAGTCGGTCTTGAAACGATACGACACATTTAATAAGTACACTGTTTGCATATAAAGTAAAACTAATGCTTTATATTAAAAAACACTTTAAAAATGTGTTATCCTGATTGCTCTCAGCTCATGGTATAAAGGATCCCCATGAACTAACCATTTCTATATTATTTTCTAAAATAAAATGCACATTTAATATCTTGATGCAGGAGTCCAAACGAGCATATGTTTGTCCAGCCAAAATGGAGCAACTTCACAAACTGTACTGGGACAATGGAGAGGTAAGATACTGGTAGATGTTGTAAAATCTAGGGCCCTTTGCATATCCGATTTAACCAGTTTGTCTGTTTATAAATGTAACATTTTCGGGTATAAATCCAGGTGAACCTGCAAATTTTTATGCTGGTCTTGCAAGGCTTTGTCAAGGCTCACCTGAAAGCAGCATCAGGTTACTAGGCCCGACTTTATTTCATAAGCAAACAACTCTGGTCCTGTTGGTTCAACCGTTTGGATCACGATAAACGAATGCGGCCTACATGGACAATGGGGAGTCAAGATAGTAAGACTTTTATATATCCTTTCACATGTGCCAGTTTTTTTTTTATCAAGTTAAGATGCTGATAAACTTTTATTTTTTTTGGTAGAATACTCTGCTTATTGTCATCACACTGTCTCAGATATTTCTAACTCTTGTTTTGAAAATTGATGAACACACTTCAAAGTAGAATTGAGATAATTTCAACACCAAAGTATCATTCTTGCTGTTTCAGTTGGTACAGTCTCTCCCCACTCTGACAGAGCTACGGTGCAAAGCTATCGCGTCCCTCAAAAGTATGAGACAGGACCACAAGAGGGCACTCAATCCAACACCTTATAAGGTAAACATAATCATTGTACAATGAGAGGTAAGAAATGTTAGTTATGGGCAAAATGTAAGTTAACTGTTCCCAAAACACCAAAACTGTGCATTTTTAGCTCTGTCTACAGTCCTTTCTAAGTTGTTCGTTTATCACGAAATATTTTTGCGCCACATGAACTATTTCAACCAAGATACGTGAATGCGATCTAGATAATGTTAAGTCTATCATTATTCGATATAAAGATCTTCCTTGATCATTTACAAATATTGGTCATCGCTTAGATAAATATGTTATAAATAATCAGTCTGATCAATTAAATTTGTCCGAGATTAGAATTTAATGAATTTGCGTAAAACTTATTTTAATAAGGTAGAAAATTTGACCATTGGAAAACACACATATTCCTAGTTTAAGATAATGACAGAGGATAAGTTGATTAGAGTCACTTTCATTTAACTAAAATTTCGGCCTTTAGTTGCAGTTACGATACAAGGTAATTATAATAGTTTGCCAGGCTTATCACATCAGAGGATACGTTATGAAGCCCTAATACCCCGCTATATTGTACAATCCTCACACTGTACTCTGAGACCATTAACACCAACCCAGGGTATCACTTACCTAGTCTCCTACCTTTCACATAATTTCGACTTTTCAAGTCAAATTCTCTAATCAGGTCAAGATCAAGATAAATGGCATTACCAAACGTATCAAGCAATAAGCCCATCCCCCTACTTTCAGTCAGAGATTATGTTTTGGCTATCCAAGCTTATTGCAGAATAAGCATGATAGTATGATCTAAACATAAATATTTGGCATATTTATGTCTCTCCTTCGAATGAAGGGAGACATTGTATTAGTACTGGTTCTTCTTATTATTGTTATTATTTCTCTTTTTCTTCTTCTGGTTCTTCTAATTGCATCTTGTCCGTGCCATAACTTTTAAACCGTTAAAGATATCTTGATGAAACTTAAGGTATGCATGCATCACCTACAGATGGTGTGCATTGCACTGGAATTAGGTCACTGTGACCTTCACCTCAAGATCAAATAAGTGCAACATTTTCAGTAAATTCTTGTCCTGCCCGTAAATTTTAAACCATTAAAGATATCTTGATCAAACTTGAAGTATACCTGCATCACTTACAGAAGGTGGGCAATGCACTGGAATTAGGTCTCGTGCTTCACTATATACCGAGTTATGACCCTTTGTTTAATTTTAATACGGAAGTTTGTCCGGAGCATAAGTTCCATGTTATTTCACCTACGTTGACTAAACTTACCATATTTATGTATCTTGGAAAGATGGAATCTCTCGCACTAAAATCAGGTTTTGTGCCTCACTATATACAGAGTTATGGCCCTTTGTTTATTTTTAATACCGAAGTTTGTCCACGACATAACTTCTAAACCATTTAAGATATATTAATCAAACTTGAAGTATTCCGTCTTTGCATATTGCAGAGTTATCTTCTCTTGAGAACAGGTATTGATTGTTACGTTACTTGTTTAAGAGAGTAACGTCATCAATTTTTGAGAAAACGACGTAATTTTCTCACACAAACCAATGACGTAACAATCAATACCTGCTCCCAAGAGAAGATAACTCTGCAATACGCAAAGACGGAATACCTGCATCACCCACAGAAGCTGTGCAATGCACTGGAACTAGGTATCGTGCCCCCCTATATACAGAGTTATGGCCCTTTGTTTATTTTTAATACTGAAGTTTGTCTGGAGCATAAGTTCCATGTTATTTTACCTACGTTGACCAAACTTACCATAGTTATGTATCTTTGGAAGTTGGAATCTCTCGCACTAAAAGAAGGTTTTGTGCCCCACTTTGTACAGAGTAATGGCCCTTTCTTTATTTTTAATACCGAAGTTTGTCCATGGCATAACTTCCATGTCATTTCACCTATGTTGACCAAATTTGCTATAGTTTTAATGTATCTTGGGAAGTAAAAGTGTCGTATTCTAAATTTGGGTCTAATGCCCTACTATATAAAGAGACATGGCCCTGTGTTAAGTTTTTATTCCGAAGTTTGTCTATTTGGCTAATAAAGGGAGACATATGTTTTTGTTCACAAAAATCATTCTAGTTTTCACAGAATTATGTCGTAAAACTTCTAAATAAATTTCATTGATATGTATTAGGTGAGATGTGCAACTTTCATTTTCCCTGTATAAGCCTGTGCCTGGTAATAAGCCCATCCGTATTTATTACAATTCAGAGGGAATGCTGACAAACATTATTTCATTGTCTTGTAATAAGCCTATTCCCTAATTGTGTCAGAAATTACGTGTTGGTCCCAGGGCTTATTTCAGGATAAATATGGTACAATTCAAAATAGTTTTGCTAATATTTTCAGGTTTTCTGTCAACGTTTCATGTGATCCCACTGTAGTTGATTGTAATTTTCATGAATGACCTATATACACAAAATACTGTAATTAGTGAGAGGATCCTCCATAACAGTAGTTTTTCATGTCACAAATATGTATGATAAAGAGGATATGAGTATCCATGTCATATAAAATTAGTTCAATATGACATGGACACAAATGTAAGATTCTTTTTATCACCTGAAATTCTTAATTTGTAAAAATCTTCAAACACAGTTGCCTGATTATCAGCTGACTCTATATACGTCAAAACCTAAGTACTCCCATCAAAGTATTGTCTTTGGGTGCAGTGCAAAGTAATTTTAGATTTTTACAATAATGAACAGTTTTAAATGCAATGGAAAAAATTACACCAAAATAAAACATTTAAAACAACAGTAAATTTAAATTGTGGTATAGTAAATAAAAGTAGTACCTGTAATGGCGTAGGAATATGTTCTCACGGTTTTGACCAATCGCAGCACCTTTGTCGTATTTATGACAAGGCCGTATGACATTGTAAAATGGATCAAGTTATGTAATAAAAATGTGGTGTGACTGGTAATCATTTGTATATAAGGTGGTTGATATAGAAATGTGTTGTAATGTTACAGGTGTCTGTCAGTGCCAAGCTGTACGGGTTTCTACATGACCTGTGGCTGGAGAACGCCCCTATAGGAGAGCTGTCTTAGTTTAGCTAAAGAAAACCACTGTGACAATTTCGACCACGGAGAATTTATCAGTTGATGTCTATATATTGAAATAAGAGAGACCAAAACAGGTTGTGATAAATATCTGAAAGATTTTTTGTTTTTTGGCAAATTTTAATCGTGATTGCTGGGAGATGGAAGTTGGATCTTGATTCATGAACATACTTTTTTTTTTTTTTTTATCAAACTCTGTTTCTAGGCATAGCATTTTTAATAATTTCAGCCGGTGGGTTAAATACTGTATACAAGTACAGTACTGGGAAACTTCACCCAGTAATACTTTTGCCCAGTCAAATTTTTCGCTCTTCAGGGGATTTTTTTTATATTCACCAAGTGTTCGTTTCACCCTTTCCCATGTATAACTAATATGGTAAGCTGTGTGCTAATAATCCCTATCACGATATATTTGCTCTGATCAAGGAGGGTACAGAAGGTGAAAGTTTAACTGTGGCAAAATGTTTTTAGTATACACCTTCTTTATAGAAAAGTTAACATTTTAAAGAAAATGGGATTTTTTTTTTTGCCTTACCATGCAAAGAGAATGAAGTGCAGCTGAACAGGGCTCAGGTAAGGCACCCAGGTTTATATATGGGGTCATACAGGGTCAAAGTATCTCTCTCCGACAAACTTGCACTCACCTCTCAAACATCTAATAGCCAAATACAAGATACGTTACATCAGCAAACACACAAGCATAACCTTATACATATGGACGTACACAGTGCAAGTATTGTAACATTGATATTCAAATGATAGTTGGTCAAACAAATGTTAAGTTTGGCCACCATGACATTGCATTTAAATTTATCTTATGTTACCTCAATAGGTAATCATTGCTGTCAATCCTCCCTCATAAGGAGGGAGACTCCCTCATTTTGACCAAAATTTACCAATCTCCCTCAAAACTCCCTCATTCAAGTCCAAACTCACAAGCTCAGATTCTACATCCTGTGGTTAAATGATCTCCTAGTTACTGCAGGGTGGGTATAATGATCATAACAGAGGTGTTTTGGAGTAATTTTGATACATAAAAAGGGAAAGCTAAATTGAGAAAGTAGTTTCAGTCCCATTTCTTACCCTTTGTCACTCATTGGAAATAAGGAATGAGGGAGATCTCCCTCATTGGAGGTTTCAGAGGTTGACACCTATGGGCAATACCTTTCGTCTTGTACAGAGCCAGACAAGCACTCTCAAGTCAAGTGCTTCTATATAGATTATTGATGGTATTCATCCTTCCTGCTGGATGTTTACTGTTAGTCAATGTGTGAATGTATTTTTGTGTTGATTGGATTAAGCTTTGATAATTCCTAGCATTGTGTATATCCATGCTTGATATTAGATATGTATAAATGATTTTAAACTGTTTTAAATTTTAATTCAGATGAATAAGATCATATTGTAGATGTACTTAATAGTAACGATAAAATAGAAAAGTCTATATACTGTTCTTGTTTGTGGTTCAATTTTTGCTATTTTTCCATGATAAAATATGAACAGAAAGGAAAAAATAGATCCGGTGAAATTTGTGTTTCTACGAATATGTAATTATGACTTCAGAACTGCAACAGTAGTCTTCTAGATTTCTGTTTCTAGGTTTCTGTTAGAATCGCCAAAAAAAAAGGAGAAAAATGAGGATTAAACTGATGATTTTGAAATAAATCTTTGAAATATTGAACCACCGTAGGAAAGTCATTTACTATAGGTTTGATATTACAAATTGTGACATTTTTTACGATGCAAAATGTTTACAAAGTCTCATAAAATCTCAACTGACACATCAAAATATCAGAAACATTCCAGTTTTAAAGATTTATTTGTTGTATTAAAATGATATATTTGATCTTGTCACTGTCAAACAAGACCATATGGAAAAGTAGTGTCATAAATACTGGTCACTAACTATACATTATGTGTTTACTTCATGATGGGAAAGATTTTAAAATCTGACATTTCTCTATTGTACACCAGGCTGTTTAGCAGTCCTCGGCTTTGGATTATTATTTTTTTATCTTAAACAATGTTGGAAACAATTTGTAATTGGGAACACTGTTTTTTTTCGTGTTCTGATGTTCTTATTTATATAATTAGATTGTATAGCTGACTATGGTTTTTAGTTTGTGCGTGTTCTTAATCAAAAATATTTTATTTAAAGGATTGAAAAATGCATTGTGCAATATTGTACTGCGATCTATGTCGGCACTGCATTGTCTTGTTTACAGTGCTATTGATGAATTTGTCATGTACCAGTGGAATGAATCAAATTTCACAGGAACCTCAAATTTCATAAATCTGATCATATAACTAAATGAATTTAATCACCATGTTTCACTGCCAAAAACTAGAATCATGCACGGGAAACGTGTACATTTTGTGATCCTGTTCACAACATTCAGAATTATTTAACAAGTATTCACTTATCTTTCTCTTTTTCATTTCCCTTTTCTTTTCCATGAATTAGATTTGACTTGCTAAAACAATTTTCTTACAAAAGTAGCAATTAAAATTTGTGGAATATTGAGGTTCAATATTGTGCACATTTGATCAGATTTTATGATACAAGAACATTTCTACCATAAAAAGTGTTCATAATTGATTTTAATTCAAGATATATGCCAATCAGATGTAAGGGGATTCCCTACTTTATACATTAAATCTGGGATTTAATGTTAACAGTTACTTTCCTTCAGATATTTAAGCAACATTGCCTATATATAATTCAGAACTCTTTTGTAACATTCAAATTTGTTGTTAGACCTATTTACCGATTCAACATTACCATTCAGTAGATATTTTACAGGTTTTTGTAAAGATACATATATATATCAGAGTAAAGTAATATGTAATATATCCTAAAGTTTTCTCAGAATTGGGTACAAGCCTGTGGCTAACATTGACATCACATTTAAAGTGATGGCTAGTCACATTAAAGTCTTGACAGGTACAATCAATACATCCATAGACAGACAAGGCTAGGACCAGTGGTCTTAAATCCATAGACGAGGCTAGTATCTGTGGTCTTACACCTATAGACAGACAAGGCTTACACCTGTGGTCTTACACCCATAGACAGACAAGGCTTACACCTGTGGTCTTACACCCATAGACAGACAAGGCTATCACTTGTGGTCTTACACCCATAGACAGACGAGGCTAGTACCTGGGGTCTTACACCCATAGACAGACAAGGCTAGCACCGGTGGTCTTACACCCATAGACAGACAAGGCTAGCACCTGTGGTCTTACACCCATAGACAGACAAGGCTAACAACTGTGGTCTTACACCCATAGACAGGCAAGGCTAACATCTGTGGTCTTACACCTATAGACAGACAAGGCTAACAACTGTGGTCTTACACCCATAGACCGACGAGGCTAGTACCTGTGGTCTTACACCCATAGACAGACAAGGCTAGTACCTGTGGTCCTACACCTATAGACAGACAAGGCTATCACTTGTGGTCTTACACCCATAGACAGACGAGGCTAACACCTGTGGCCTTACACCCATAGACAGATGAGGCTAACACCTGTGGTCTTACTTACACCCATAGACAGATGAGGCTATCACCTGTGGTCTTACACCCATAGACAGACAAGGCTTACACCTGTGGTCTTACACCCATAGACCGACGAGGCTAGTACCTGTGGCCTTACACCCATAGACAGACAAGGCTATCACTTGTGGTCTTACACCCATAGACAGACAAGGCTATCACTTGTGGTCTTACACCCATAGACAGACAAGGCTAACATCTGTGGTCTTACACCCATAGACAGATGAGGCTAACACCTGCGGTCTTACACCCATATACAGACAAGGCTAACAACTGTGGTCTTGCACCCATAGTCAGACAAGGCTAACACCTGTGGTCTTACACCCATAGACAGACAAGGCTAACATCTGTGGTCTTATACCTATAGACAGACGAGGCTAGTACATGTGGTCTTAAAACCTATAGACAGACCAGGCTAACACCTGTGGTCTTACACCTATAGAAAGACAAGGCTAGCACCTGTGGTCTTACACCCATAGACAGACAAGGCTAACATCTGTGGTCTTACACCCATAGACAGACAAGGCTAGTACCTGTGGTCTTACACCCATAAACAGACAAGGCTAGCACCTGTGGTCTTACACCCATAAACAGACAAGGCTAGCACCTGTGGTCTTACACCCATAGACAAATTAGGGTAAAATTTGCATTTGTCATGTTTTGATCACTTTTACAGATAGGGCAGATAGACAGAATGTATGTTGACTGTCCCTTTGTTTGGGTTACCAGATTCTATATAAAGGTGTATTTGTTGTGGTACAAGTGGTATACCAGTTTATTGTTTGGTATATTACTGACCATATTAAACTGCTGACGTTTTAGTGCAATATTACATTGTGTTTTATCATGGCTTACGATTAATATATATATAGAATGTAACTCAATACCAATTTTGTTGTGACTTGTTGTAATTCCATTTTCCAAAGTGGTACGCTTTTTACTGTAGATGATAATGAAACAATCTTCGTTCAAAGGGTACAACATCCGTCAACATTTTTTTCACAATTTCTATTTCTTTAACAATGTTTATATCATAAACAATGTATGGTAGTTACAACCCGGGAAGTGGAAGGACCAAAATGACACATGTGATTAGATTGTTGACAATATTACTTTGTGGTAAGGGTTCAGATTTGTTTGGATGCAGGCCCAGATTGGATGAATTATATCTAGTTTGATTTGTTATTTATACCACACATGACGACAGTAGTGTTTGCAGTTTCATTCAAAGCAAAGTGCTGGTATTTCACTTTCAGTTTTTGATTGTTTTCACAAGAATATCTAAGAACATGAGGTATTTTTCCGGAGATCAAAAGATGGATTCAATGTACAGATGTTATAGATTTCTATCAATCTACGTGATAACATATAATGATACATTACATGTGATTACATGTGTTACATGTGAGTAACTGAGATTTCCATTATCGGAAAAAATATCTCAATAATATTTTCTCTCCCTACCTATCTTTCTTTCTAGTTGAGTCAGGAAACACAACTATAATAGTTTTGGCCTTACATAGAACTTCTGGTAATTGATCCTGGAAATCCGAGAGTAAAGTGAAAATTATTTGTAGGTGATGATTAATGTAGTTGAATTGAATTGAAATAAGTTAATTGACAAGTT